AACCATCACTTGAGGGATGATGTATTCTCTGCCTGCCTCTGTCAGACCTATATGATACCTGAAGCTTTGAAGCATGGGACAGGGAACATGCATAGCTTTGCCCTAGACACCCTCAGTAGCCTCATCCTCAGTTATGTCCCCCAAATTCAATGTGTGACAGGCACCTGAATGTCAAGCCCATCACAGCTCTGTGCCTCAATTTTCAAGGGGAAATTCTACCCTTTCTTTTTAGACTGGATATGTACTGTGGCAGAGGATCATCCCATCTCTCTGCACAGTGGTGCCAGCAGCATGACTCCTGGAGTTTGTAATAGAGAATGAGGGTGTAAGATTTGGGACTGATGTGTTAAAAGTAAACTTTGTGTGGTGCTCTTCCTTATAATAGAATCTGTATTAAAGATCTGCCAACAAAGTACTAATACTTTGTTCTTATTTCTTATCTGAGCCTTGTAACCTATTAAACAAGACTATAAATATAGTCATCAAGAAAAATAAGCTTAAGTTAAATGTTAAATTGTTGCAAAAATAACGTTTCTGATTAATTGTCTTTGTCAAATACCACCGTAAATGGTGTTGAAATTTGTTGCTTAATCAAAGAACTGTCTAAACTGTGTGCATTTACATTTTAAAAAATTAGAACGCAATTTGCCCAGAAGATAAACAATTATGGTCCAATTTTATAAGTGTATCTTCAATTGTTAGAACATACTTTAAATAGGAGCAAGTATGTACCAATTAATTATAGCTTAGAAGATTATTCTTAGCTCATTGTAGAGCTGTATAATTCAATCCTGAAAAAAAAAATGCCTGTAAAGGCACAGCACGATTTTAATTAATTTTTTTCTAACTGTTTAATTTTTAACTTTTTTCCCAAAGTGTTTAATTTTTAAACAAGCTCTGCTAGCTACATATTTCATTCTCACCATCATATCTCTTAAGCAAGAAAAATAAAGTTAAATAAATTGGATCAGTATTCAAATAAAAGCCATTTAAAGTGATGCTCTCAGGCATTTATTTTTATTCTTCTGAAGTATCCATCAATCATATTAGCTCTTTAAAAAAGCAACCAGCCTTGAAGGCCCAGACAAAGTTTAATATAACAAGGGGAACTGCAATTTTAGAACAACATTTTCCATGAAGTTATAATACTAAAAAATCTGTAGACTGGGGAGATTTCAGATATTTAGATAATGATGAAATACACTACTGTAGTGACTGGAAGAGATAGAAAGCAAAAATCCCCGCAAATGGAGAAAATGGGATTAGAGGACTCTCTTTTGGGGCAATGAGAAATTGCTTTGGGGATATTCTTATTTTCATAAACAATTTTCATTTTCACAAGAAGAATCCCCTGTCTACAGTCTTGATTACAAGCCTCTCACAAGAATAGTTTGTCGTGTTTTGTCGCTGTACATTTTGTGGTTTCTGAAGGTAAACCTTCTAAAATCAGTATTTGTTTTGATGTCTTGGTTTGTAGGGGGATCATTTTTTTTACATTGCCCTAATGACATAGCTTATAGATAGAGACCTAAAACCTTCCCTGGAGCAATTGATTGGATGATATTGAGTAGATCTGCTGCAGCACTGCCAGTATGCTATTTCTGATTTCGTGGCAGTAGAGTTTTCTTAGCAAGGATCATGGTGACATCTAGACTATGGTCATGGGGTCAGTACCATCACTCGTCCTAAGTCCTCCTTCCTTTCTAGAGATGCAAATGATCCTGTGCTTACTGACTGCACTGTTGTTAAAATTTCTGGTGATGACCCTTGAATTTATATGTTTTACTGTAAATTTGAAAAATATAAACCTCACAAGTGAGGAATGCTGACCATTCTGGGGTTAGACATCCACTTCTAGGTACCTCTGCTTCTGTGACTGTACTTGGCAAACATAGAGTGACAGTCCTTCCAGCCTAGAGTTCCTACCTGAATTAATGGGACAATTAACCAAAAAAGTATTGTCTTTTCCAGGTGCTTTATAGTTCCTTAGAGTACCTGTTGGCTGAATTGCATCTCTTGCAGTAAACCAAAGATAATATTTCTGCTATCAAATCTCAGAAAGAACTACATGTGCTTCTAAAAAGATGATTTAGTGTTTGTGTCAAGATATTAAGTTCTTTCTTCATTGAAATAAGGCTTGACTGGGTTCAGTTGTTCTTCATATTCAGGTATCAAGTGACAAGACAGATTTGGGGTAATGGGTTGTTTGGTTCCCTAGTCAGGGTAGCACCCCTTAGTCCTTTTGATTTAGTATATGTTCTTATGGCTGCTGTCAGCGTATTAAATCCCCTATTAAAAAGAAAAAAAAGACATAAGCTAGTAAGAAAATTGTGTTTTAAGAACAAATAACTTAGTGATTAGAAAATCAGGATAACATGACAATATAATTTCATCTTCTAGGCAGTGTATATGTATATGGCTGCATATTTATGTTACTGTAATTGCTCACCCAAAGTTTTGAGGCTTGCAGGTATTAGAAAACTTTAAACCTCATTCTGAGTTAATGTAATTCAACACAAAGGCAGCAGCTAAATATCTGCTCCTTTAATGTTGGTATGTCTTGAGTTCTTGTATTTAAATACGTATTCTTAATTTTATGTAATAGAGTCAGTTATATCTTTTGCCTTTACATGCACTTTTTGAAAGAAAAGTTAAATGGGAGAAAAATAAACTGTTGATATTCATTAATGTTTGAAATATCACTACAAGCACTTAATGATAAGACTTCCAAGTAAGAAGTACAAGTTCCATTACAGTGAAATGGAAATTCAACACTTAGCATACATGGATAATTCTGTAAATGTCAACTGAACTCACATTTTACTAATGTTAACTCAGTGTTTTGAAAATCAAAACTCAGTATATGGAAAGGCTGGTTAAAGTGGTAACTTTTTTCCTTTGCTGCCCATGTATGTTTAAACCCTATTTCTTTTAATGGATCTGCTCAACTTTAAGGATTTTCTTGTTTCCTTGCTCTTGACATATCACTTCTATAGGAACCACAGAAGCAATTGCATAGACCAGACATGAGTAAAATTCTAGTGATCCTGGGTATATCTGAGGAGTGTTAATAACTGCTGCAATATTGCTGGTGTGTCCTGCGCATGGTTAAAAGTTTCATATTCCTAGTAGCTTTAAAATGGATTACATTTCTCTTGTCCATCCTTTCAGTTTTGCTTGGGAGAGTTTACACCTGAATAAATATCTGTGTTTGTATCCATCAAATGCAAAATACCTCAGTGGTAGTCAAGGCAGCCCTTTGTGGCTCTGTTAGCAAGGAACTCTGCTAAAATTCTTCAGGAAAGCAGCACTATCCTGAGCCATGTCAGCTCAGCAGAAGCAAAATTCATATGACCATCTGCATCTGAACTTGCAGGTACACCCTCTGAGCTAATGACTGTGCTTGCCTCAACCTCAAGACTTCTTATCGCTCGGAAAAAGCATAACAAAAAAGCAGGAGGCATTAGTTCCCCAAAGTTTTTTAGCCCATAGTAGTAGGAGTGCACTTCTTTTCCCCTAGTTTTGCCTCAGTTTAGCTAAATATTCTTTTTATTCTTTTTCTTAAGAATCCATCATAGTTGTTGGGACCAGTTAGCCCAGAGAGGAAGCAACAGTTTGTAGCCCTTCACGATCATCAGTATATGGTTTCTTACCTTGTCTGCTTCCTTCTGAAGTACTGAAGAGGAACCAAAACTTTGAAATGCCAAAAAGCCACATTGATTTCATTTTCCAGGGACTCAAACATGGCCAAAGAGATCAGCTTAAGTTTTTAATAAAGGCATTCATCACAGAGTGAAAGAAAAGTCTTTTTCCATTTCAAGATAAGAATTTTTTGCTGGAGAATTAATAGATGGGAGTAGAAGAACTTCTTTGTTCTTGACTAGGATTAGCACAGTCTGTGGTATAAGACTTCAGTGAAATCCTCATGTAATTAAAGTACTGATGTAACCTTTTTTTTCTCCTCTGTTGTATATTCTGATGTCAAGTTTTATAGCAGTAATTTCTTTTTTGTTCCACTATATTACTACACAGACATTAACAGCAACTGTATGTACTTCTAGATTCTCTAAAGAGGTCTTGCATATGAAGTTCCAGAGGTGATTCAGCCCAGCCATTATTAACTAGAGAACTGTGTTTTGGTATAATTTTTACCATCAAAAAGAGGTCTTTTTTTTTCCTGAAAATCAGAAACATATTCCTCTGAGAAATGTCTAGCTTTACTTGTAGGAATACCCTTTAGCTCACAGAACTTTCAGCTTCTATGCTTGTATAGGAAACATAAGCAGGATAGGATATTGAATGCTCAGCTGAGATCTTTTTAGAAGAAAATGATACATGTACACATACTGTACTGGGTCTGAATTTGGCTTCAGGAAGCTGTCATTTAACTGTGGTCTGAGTTGATATTAATTGAGCAGTATTCACAGTTCACAACCATCCTGTGGCATAGCTGGTTTTGTACTGGTATTAGTACGCTGAAAAAAGTGACACTCCTGACAATACCTTGTTTAACTAGCATTGTCGCAGAACATCTTTCCTTACTTGTATGCTACTGTATGAAGATAGAGCACTTTTCGGCACAAGCAAGGAGGAGTTTCTGGCTGATCAACTCCTGTTCTAAAACAGTATTAAGGACAAAAAGAGCAGATTTGGCATAGAGCTCAGCAAGAGAATGTTAAGATCCTGTACTAATTTGGAGAGCTTGTGTTATCTGTAGGTTATGTGGCACATTATGTATTGATGAACTATATGACCATATTTTCTAGTCTCCTCACAACATGACAGCATTACGAAAAGAATGGCAAGCATGTGTTACCCATTAGAAAGTCCATTATGATGGCCTGGAAGATATTGGTGGCAGTAAAGAGATGCAAGTGTAATTTTCAGAAAAAAGATTACTGTTGCACATTAATTTTGAAGTCTCATAAATGTTCCTCCTTAGTTTCCAATATCAGGAGGCTGATTATTTACCCCAATGCTATGACTGATTTCTTTTGTAGAATCCCACTCAATGTGAGAGACATTGTCTACTGTACAGGAGTTTCACTGATGGATGAAGATGTATGGGAGTTCATTTGGATGAAATTTCATTCCACCACAGCAGTGTCTGAGAAGAAAATACTATTAGAAGCCTTAACTTGCAGTGATGACAGAAACTTGCTCAACAGGTACAAAAATGTTTTATATCTGAATCTGTTACCAAGAATCACTTCAAAATTTATGGATCATCACTTGAGGTTTGGTCTGAATGAAAGAACTTTGCTTTTCAAGCACACACTATCTGTTGAAACCTTCTTATGCTTTTGCATTAATACATATAAAAATTGACACATATTATACCTTTTCACTTCCAGATTTTCCTGTGTTCATTGGAAATGTTTGAAATCCTGTAATTGCTGATATTTTTTGTTAGCATGTCATTTAAGTGTCTTGACCGGTCTGATCTTAGAGATTTCATAAAAATGCATACATAAAGCTCCACTTAACTTGTACTGACATCCTTTTACATCAAGATTTTTCTGATTCATAAACACGTCCAGTCTTTGGAATCATAGAAATAAACCACTGAACTCACTTGGAGACTTAAACAAGCCATTTGGCAGTGATTTTTTTTTTCTGAGAGTTTTCTGATGTCCTGATATTAGACTGTGTGTTGGTGAAACTAAGTAGGATTTTTTTTCTTCTTTCCCCCACTAGACTTTTGAATTTGTCTCTCAACTCAGAAGTTGTCCTGGATCAGGATGCAATTGATGTGATAATCCACGTAGCTCGAAATCCACATGGAAGGGATCTTGCTTGGAAATTTTTCAGAGAAAAATGGAAAATATTGAATGCTAGGTAAAGATAAAAAATCTAAATTTATTTTCATTTTCTTATCTTGATATAATTCGTGTGTATTCATGTAAGTTCCTGAATGTAGTCCATTCTCTTTTAATTCATAAATGGAGATGTCTCTAAATACATACATATAGGTCATAAATGCATTTATTCATGGATTATCACACACGTGCATAGACACATTTGTCTCTCAGCAATCATCTGTATATATATTGCTTTATTGTGTTTACGCTTATGATAATGAATTCTACCTATATATCAAGTGCTGCAGTTCTACTTTTATAGAGATAAAAAGCAGAAGTTTCCAAAGTAGTTTTTCTGATTTTAAGTCTGATAGAAAAAAATTATCTTTTTAAGAATGTTATTTCAACTGTGGAAAAAAAAACCCAAACCCTTTTTGAAACATTTCCATTTTCAAAAGGATGCTAATGTAGTGTCATCCCTTTTCTTTCCACTCTGTGTTTCAGGTGAGTTTCAAGTAATAAAGGAGCAACATTTGAAATTAAAAATAGATGAACAGAAAGGAGACAGGGTTGCTCCTTACACCTGCTTCTCTTTCTCTTTGAACAAGTGCTACATGCTCGTACTCAGAAGCCTAGTCAACATTTTAAAATGCTTTTTGGTGAAGATTTTTATATTAATTCAATGAATGACTAATTTCTTTAGTTCTTTAGGGACAGCCTGAGGGCCTGAAAGGTTGCACAGCAGCTCATCTGATACTGCCAGATTAGAAGGGACCACAACTCGAATGAAGCTTGGGTTCTTAAAGGCAGGTGTCCAAGAATTTCAGATATTCCACACCAGGCCCTCCTGTGGTGTTGACAGGAAAGGTATTGGAGATATGTTCCATTCTGGACTTGTGAGGAGCCAACTGGTGTACCACAGAATATTTGAAATGGTATATTTAAGATGCTGTATTTAAGGAACTAAATCCCAGTGCCTGATAAATACAGGTACAAACTTTTTAGAGGTTTCACAGCATCAAGAGTCAAGGAAACTCAGATGCTGAGCAACTTTCCTAAAAGTTCAGAAAGCTGTTCATGCCGGTTTGGATAATATTTTATAGTATAGTGGTATTTTAGAAGAAGTTCAGCTGGGAAAATAGGTTTGAGCTGGAATTGGTTTTGGAAGTTTATATTGCAGGAGCATACTTTTTGACAGCCATTTCCAAAAAGCTTTAAGAGTGCTGAAGAGTTTAAAAATTAAGAATTCTCTGCTCCTGGTGTGATTATTCCAGGAATTGGACTTCTACATGAAAACTGAATGGCAGACACATTACTATTATGCAACCCAGTGCAGATGCCAAATAATTGTTCAGGTTCCTCCAGGGATTTATACAGAGTCTAGGCATAAAGCTATCACAATCTGTATTGCTGTAAACACATATGTAGTAGTCGTGTTTTGCCTTAGCAAGCCCGTTCATCTGACAACATAGCTAACACCTGTGATTTTAGATGTGGACAAGGTTAAGCAGTGTAGACAAGTAGAAAATATTTAGAAAACTATGCCACATGCCAAATCTTTTTTGTGTTTCAATTTTAAATAGCTTAACTTCACCTAGAATTTGAATTGTATTTATTTCACTTGCGTGGAATGCATCACTGTGTAATCTGAATTCTTAACAATCAGCAAGATCTCATGAAAAACCTGTTATTGTCCTTTTTTTAAAATGAGAAAATAACAGTCTGTTTCTTTGCCCAACACTGTCTTTGTGTTGTCTTCATTCAGTTTGATCTCCAAACACAAGTCAGAGCCACCAAGAAGATTGTAGCAGTTGATTTTTCTGAAAGTGACATCCAGTTGAGTTTTTATTGATCACTGAAAGATTCAATGCAGTGGAATAAAACAGTTAGTGCAAGCTGTACATATGTGATGTAAATTGAAAATAACATTGTTTTGTAATCACAGATTAGAACCTTTTAAGTGAGACTTCGAGAGGGTGGAATTAGTCTAATAATTTGCCCTTTAATGTTCAGTGAAACAGTGACATGATAGAATGCGAGGTCCTACATCTGGGTCATGCAATCCAAGGCACACCTACAGGTTGGGCAGAGAAGGGATTGAGAACAGCCCTGCAGAGAAAGACTTGGGCATGATGGTTGATGAAAAACTTGACATGATTCGGCAGTGTCTGCTCGCAGCCGAGAAAGCCAATCAAATCCTGGGCTGCATCAAAAGAAACATGGCCAGCAGGTCAAGGGAGGTGGTTTTCCCCCTCTACTCTGCTCTCTTGAGACCCCACCTGAGTACTGCATACAGTTCTGGCGTCCCCAACATAAGAATGACATGGAACTGTTGAAGCAAGTCCAGAGAAGAACCACAAAGCCAATAAGAGGGTTGAAGAACCTCACCTGCAAAGACAGACTGAGAGAGTTGGGGCTGTTTAGCCTGGAGAAGAGGTTGCATGGAGACCTCCTAGCAGCTTTCTGGTATCTGAGGGGTACCTACAGAAAGTCAGAGAGGAACTCTTTGTCAGGAACTGTACTGATAGGACAAGGAGTAAAGGGTACAAATAGAAAGAGGGGAAATTTAGGTTAGATATTAGGAAGAAATTTTTTACTGTGAGGATGGTTAGACACTGGAACATCTTACCCAGGGAGGTTATGGATAACCCAACCCTGGCAGTGTTCAAAGTCAGGTTGAGCAACCTGTTATGGTGAGAGGTGTCCCTGCACATGGCAGGAGTGGTTGGGACTAGATGATTTTTAAGGTCCATTCCAATCCCTTAATGTTCTACGATTCTATGATTAGGGTTCTGATTTAAGCTCACCACACTAGGACATTTTTAAAATACATGCTTTGTTGTGGAATTATAGTTCAAAAAGGACACGGACCTCTTGGAGAGAGTGCCACGGACAGCCACAAAGATGATCTAAGGGCTGGAGTATGTCTTCTATGAAGACATGTTGAGAGAGTTGGGAATGTTCAGCCTGGGGAAGAGAAGGCTCTGGGGAGACCTTGTTGCACCTTCAAGTACTTGAAAGGACCCTACAGGAAAGCTGCAGAAGGACTTTTTAGTGATAGGACAAGGGGTAATGTCTTCAAACTGAAAGAGGGCAGGTTTAGATTGGATAATATGAAGAAATTCTTTACTGTGAGGGTGGTAAGGTACTGTTGGATGGGGCTTGGAGCAACCTGGTCTAGTGAAAGATGTTCCTGCCCATGGCAGGGGAATTGGAACTGGGTGACCTTTAAGGTCTCTTCCAACCCCAACCATTCTATGATTGAAGTGATTGAAGTATACTCTGTCCCAAGGCATCCTTTTTCTACAATTATAATTTAGTATTTAATCTGATTTAAAATTAAAACACATTGTACGAAAAATTAATTTAATAAGGTCATATCTCAGTGGTATTTTCCATTTAATTTATTATAAAAGGTGTTGATGTTTCAGGTAGTAATATGAAATAGCTGAGGGGGATTGAATTATAATGCTATTGCCTCCTATTTTTAAACACAGCATGTCAAGGAGTTAGAATTACCACAAAATCTTGTTAACCTTTCATATTTTTATAGTATGCTTGTATTCATGTTGTCCAGAACATACTGATAATGTATAAAGTCTTCAAAATCACCCATATAATTTATAAAGATGACTTAAAACTTGAGTTACCTAACAAGTCTTTAGTAAGAAATCTGTGGGACTAAGACTGCTACAATTTTAAAAAAGAGAATTGAAAATACTACGCTTTAGTTCTTGTGACCTCAGCATGCACTACCTCTTAAAGCATTTTCATCCTGTGTACACATGTGTGTCTGTGTGTGAAAATTTAATCCATCAGCTACCTATCAGAATTCCTTCATTCTGAAGTGCTGAATCATTTGTCAGCATTTGAAAATTTGACACTATATGGAAAGGCATTTACATCTGTGCAAAGTAAATGGACTTTGCTGCCTCTCGAGTTTGCACAAGTGCAAAGCGTGTACAAATTTGGAGAACTGGAGTTTTACATCCACAGAAGGAAAGGTGCAGGTGGAGAGCCAGTGTCTCCAGAGTGTTTCCAGGGAGTTCAGGCATGTAATGTCCTAGTTCTGTAGTGTTGTTGTCTTTCCTGTTAAGGGTGAGAAGACTGACACTTGTAAGACCAAACGCTTTTCCTATTTATTCTTCTGTATCACACCTGCAAAACACTGTTTTGAAGGTGACTTTTCTAGAATTTTTGCCAGCAGAGCTTGTATAGAAATTGCTGTTAATGGCTGACTTTTTACCAAGTATGCCTAGTGGGCAGTAATCAGCACAGGTATGCATGAAGGTATCATTTTCAGTGGAAGAAATTCTGTTACTTCTTGTTTGCACTGTGGCTACGGTAGGCTGCAAGAAAAATAAAACCCCTGCAGCTCTTTTTATGAGGTCACTTTTCTAAAGTGGATTGGTAACCTCGTCAAAAGACCCCATCAAGAGGAGCTTCCAGTCTTCCAAACAGTCAATTATGTCTAAGCTGAGACTGTAATAATAAAGGACTTTGTTAGAAAGCCTAAACATGCTTAAGGACCATGAAATCCATACTTCCCATAGGAGATGTTTGCCTCTGGATGTCTGTATATGCCAGTGTGACCGAGGTTTTGGGAAAAGAGATGTACTTGCTGAAATATCTGTGAATGATTCAGGTATTAGTGGTCAGGGAGTAGGATTTTTGATACCTCTGTGTTTCTCCTCACACAAGCTCAAGATAGCAAGCAACATGGTGTAAACCTTCCCTAAAACAGAATCTTATCAAAGAGAACCTAGTTCTCTTCCCTCTTCGTCTTTATATCCTTCTCACTTTGGCTATCTCTCTCCTTCTCTTTCTTTCTTCCTTTTGAAAGAACTGTAGCTTAGAATACCTAAGCATTGAAGGGTAATTAATTTGGGATTAATAGAAGCAAAACAGAAAGTCATGCCTGCGCTAGTTCATTTCACTTGGAATTTTGAATTCCTTCTGTAAATCAGTTTGTAAAAGTGGAGGATGAACTGAATTGTTTCCCCAGATAAACTTGATTGCAGTGAAGTCTATCGGTAATACTTACATGTCTTACAGGAGAGCTGGATTCTCTATCTTAAAAACAGTCATGTTCAGATTAGCTAGATATTGCTTTGGACGTGTATGGAGATGCAGATAAGGATGACTATTTGTCAAGTGTTTTTACGATGCTGAATGACATCTAACTTGAGCAAAAGACTTGCTTTGGTTTTCCAATGGAGTTATATTTTTCATGCTAAAGACTAAAAGAGAAAAACCACATCAACAAACCTCACAAACTATTTTAATGTGAAATGTAAGACTTAAGAAGTAGTCTGGTCAGGAGTCATGTAGATGCTTCATTTGGAGAATTGAAAAAAACTTATGGAAAAGCAAGTGAACAGGAGGATTTGAATGGCCAATTTCAAAGCAACTGTCTGCTGAAGGTTGTTGCTGGTGGCTGCTGAATATCCTTTAAATATTCCTTGCCCAAGCTTTGAAATTTTCATTCCAGGTTGGTTCTTTGAAGATGCTACATCATGGCCCAGGGGATTATTTTAGCAGTATTATTCTCTATCAGTATTATTTATTTTAATTATCAGGTACTGGAACAATAAAATTTGATTCAGTTCACTTATTGAGAGGCAATTTGTAATGTAGATGAGGTGAATGAATAAAAAATGCAGAGAAGGCTGCAGCATTTCAAAAAGTCTGTTTTAATGGTACAGCTAGAAGGGTTCCTCAGAATACTTCTCATAGTTGTTGCTCTGCTCCTTCATTGACATCTGTATTTTGGTGTCATGTGGAAAGCTGTTCTGTTAAGCATGGTTTGGTCCTTCCCTCCTCAGAAGCGCTTATTTGTGTCTGTAGTAAAGCCCATTCTGCTTAAGAGCATCTGACTTAAAATAACTACAAATATTTCAGTCTACAAGAGCATCTCAGTCTAGGGTTCTATCATGAAACACTGAAATACCAGTGTCCAGTTCCAGTACTATTTCCTTGATTCCCCAGAATCAGTCCCATCCCTTTTCACTTGCCTACAGATGATTACTTTCTAATTTTCTGTGCATCTTCTTTTTGCCCTTGCAGGTATGGAGAAGCATTATTTATGAATTCAAAGCTAGTCAGTGGGGTCACAGAATTCCTCAATACTGAAGGAGAACTAAGAGAGGTAATTTTTAAATTACTTTCGGCATGTGAGGCTGTATTTGTCATAGACAGGGGGTCAGGCAGGAACAGTAATAAGGTTGTCCAGAAACTCTGGTTGCTCAGCTGCAGTTGAAGGCCCAGCTGTCCATGCAGTTGGGCAGCACAAGGATGAGGAGCAGATTGCAAAATCACACAAGTGTGTAGAGGTGGTGTCAGGAGGGGGATTGTGCAGACACCTCTTTGTGCTTGGCTGGATGTGAAGGTTTGTTTTTTTCTCTTGACTATTGGTTGAGAAACTAAAGATGAGATGTTTCTATCCACATTAATTTATGCTGCAGAGGCCAGCCCTTGAAAACAGCAGTGTTGAAAGTAGAAGCATATTCTCTCTTTTTCTCTTGCTTACAGTATTTTCCATGTGAGAAAAGCTGTTAACTTGAATATGCTGACCAAAATAATTTGTTCTAAGTGCAAAGTACTTATTATTTAGATTGCAAAGATTTCTCATTTTAACTTAACATCTGTCCTGACTGAGGTAGTTGTGCAGTTTTGCTGAGCCCTGCTTAGCAGCTGCTCAACCTTGCCCCAAATGGATCCAATGGTTCATATTGCAGCACAGTCACCATTACTTGAACTCTGATTGCATTATGATATTTTGCATCCAACCACTTGTCTGCACTCAAGTCTAGTGGCCTCAGGAACTTAGGGAAGAGCTGCAGCTGGTTTCCTCAAAATTACCCAGGTGGGAATGATAGTGCTGGCCAGATTTGAACATCTGCCCTGCTCAAGGAAGCCTTTGTACTGTTAGTTTCAACCTCCGTGACAGCATTGGCAAGCTGCCTGTTTATACTTCCCTTAAAGAAACTGGCCTTTCTTTTAAACCTTTGTAAATACTTCGGTATAAAAAGTACAGAGATCAAGTAAAGTCTGATTTTGATAGTTTCCAGGTCCCTTCCATGCTTTTAACTGTGATGGGAAACAGACAGTTGCAGAATCAACCTTTACAGCTTTGAGCCCACGCACAAAGAGCAGTCGAAATTTAATAATCAAGGTGAATTTGGTGTCACCAGCAAACAGAAATTCACTAGTTATTCGCAAGAGTTGCTAACGCCACCTAATTTTATACAAGTCAACGTAACATGGGATCTACTGTGCAGATCAGCCTTGCAGTTCTCACTTAGAAAGAACAGTAATTCAAAGCACACCACCATTAGCTGTAATGATGCAGGTGATGGTGCTATAATTTGAGTATACACAAGAACATAGCAGGGGTGTTTTCAGTCTGCAGAAAAAAGATCAAAGTTTTCTCATAAGGGAAGGGGTATGTTTCAGGCATTCAAACATTGTTAAATGAGTGCCCACTTGCTATTTTGCCATTCTCTTCACACTGTAACCATCCCTTCCTTTTTTCAACTACAGACCTATATTATATCATCAAAAGGGATCTCCAAATGAAAATAAAATAAATGTATTGTGAAGCTTGATAAAACCAAAAGACATCAGGGCTACCTTCTGATATTTGCAAATAAACCTTAATTAAGCAGTTCCAGTGCTCACGGTTTGGTTTCTTAGGTAGAAATAAATTTTAGAGCAGCCATCCACGCAGTACAGCAGCTGAGCTGTAGGAGGGAAGGAGGTAACGATATTAATGTGATCCAGCGCTGACATGTCAATATCTTCCAGTGCAATGTGAAGCAATTGCATCACATCTAACTGACAGTGTGCTGTCTTATTACATTTCCTACTAAATCTTTCTACCCGATACTGCATTTACTTCTGCAGTGATCATCGAGGTTTGTCCTAAATGCCTGACTTGTTTGTGTGCAGTGGAAATATTTGCTTTCTTTAGTTGCTGCAAATTTAACCTGTGAACTTGTATTTCCAGCTAAAGAACTTTATAAAGAGTTATGAAGGGGGAGCTGCTGTCTCTTTCTCTCGCGCCGTGGAAACTGTAGAAGCCAACGTGCGGTGGCAAAGGCTTTATAAGGAAGAACTATTCCACTGGCTAAGAAAATCCTTGACACACTAATCTGTCTTTTCAGCCGACCATTTAACATGATACACTGCAAGAAGAGGAGACATTTTAGAAGTGTTCAACATGAAAATCAGCAAGACAAAATCAGATTGCAGGGATAAGGGATTTTTTCTTTTTTCATTGTGGTTTTTATTTTTACACTGAGCTCTTGTGAAATTGTCAAGAAGATTTTCAGCAGACAAGATCATGAATGTTTGTGAAATCTAGTCCTCAATGTACAGAACCAAACATGATATTAAGTGATGCATGTAAATGTTGAAGAAAAACAAACAAAAAATCCTTCATAGACTATTTTGTGCATGCTTGTACTGTCTCTGCCTGTATTTTAGCATGCTTATGTAAACAGCCACATTTTATATGTGAGTTCCAGTTACATCAAAGTTGGGCATTATACAAAGCACAAAGACTCTACGACAATCAGTATTTCAATGAACAAAGGGAAAGCAAGGAAAAGGAAATGCAGAAGGCTTTCAGCTTGGGGCAGTATGAGATGTAAAGTCAACTTTCCTGCTCTCTGCCAACTCATCTACCACTCAGATGTCTCTTAATGATTACAAAGATACCAGCTCATTTTTTGAGTTGCCAGTTGTTCCTGCAGTCGCCATATTCCTGTATTTAAATAAGCAAAATAGTGAGAGAGAGGAGAAAGAGAAAGGGTCGAGGAGGGGCATTAGAGAGAGAAAATGAGGACATCATCCTTGCATTATAATCATGTATATTTGTTCACTGCTGATCAGTGAAACAGTGTAGTTTTAGCTGTGACTGTGTGCAGTGTTGGACAGGAACTTCGCATTTATTTCACAGAATCCACCTCTTCTGAGCTATTTTACAAGGCAGTGATACTCACAATGGGTCATGTTACCCAACCTGTGTAGTAGTAAGTTTTGTAGCTGATAGTGCACAAGTATTATAAATAAACATAAGATTCAAAAGGAAATTAGCAAAAAAGGGAGAATATCTTGCATGCAAAGACTTAAAATTACCCAAGAGGGCTGTCTTGCATGTGGTAGACCAGCCTCTGTAGTGATTTATTACGATAGACAGGTCAGATTCTCTATGTGGGCAATACTGCAAATATGGAATGTACCATTTATGCCATCATAGAAAAGTGAAATATGGAGAAAGTGAGGGGTGTGTATGTGTGTTTATTTGTACTGAGTAATATTGAGAACATGATTTTCTTTCTCTTCCCTTATATTCCACATAGACTGTTGTAGATGGGTGATGGTTTTCTTAATCACGTTTGTTTCTTCCTAATCCTTAATCTGACAGATCAGTAACCCAGTGGAGTTGTACAATGACTATCTACGCCACTGAACGTAAACTTTGAGGATAAAAGTGATGGGGGCCAAAATCTATCTCATGTCTACATTGTGGAGGAAAAAACCACAAAGTTACAGAGTTTGCAGGAGGCAGATTACAGCAGCTTCAGAGGTAGAATGTAAATGTGCAACAGTGTTTCTTTATCCCATTCCTGCCTACACCAACCATCTGAGCACATCCTGGCCCTGAACACTGGGAACATGTGGCCAACCAAAGTAGAGAGCAGCCATTTTATCTGGTTGTTTCCTTCACAAAGCATGGAAGTTAGCAACACGCTTTACAGTTGCAGTTGCTTATCCCCAGAAAGTTGTTATTTGAAACGTTACTGCCAAAAGAACTAAACTCAAGCATCTTCAGATATTTTCAGAATTGTGTGGAGACAGTATTGTTTTCTGGGCTGTCATTCCTGTTGTAGTCTGCTCCTCAAGAACTAGTAGACCCATTCCATAACTTAATTGTCATACCCATCTTGCGCCTGTCATTGTGTATCTTTTACTGTGCAGAGGGTGTTGTTTGTGGATTGGGTGGTGTATGAAATCCTTACGTGGGCTTTTTTTCAGCTGTTCAGTGCCGTGTAGTACGTTAGGTTGGCTCACATAACCAAAAGAAGAGGGAATCCTGTGCTCTTGTACTGGTAACTCTTTGCCTTATAGTAAGCCCTAAACCTTTGTGCTATGTTCCAGTGCTAGTGAACCTAATACCCAGAGACATTGTCTCAAAACTGAGTGAAATCTTCCTCCTCCTATGTATTTTACCTACCTCACAGGGCTGTTGTGAGGCTTGACTAATGTTAGCAAAGCACTTGAATATCCTCTGATAAAAGGCATTTAAAAGTGCAAAGTATTATTTTATATGGTTGACCAAACTCAACCTCAATGCCAGTATGTAGCATCACATTTTTAATTTCTACTAAGACAAATCACATGCAGATTTTTTTTTAATAAAAAAGCAAGCCAAATACTATTTAATATAACCTCTACCCTATAATGAAGGCCAAAATGATGATATCCAAAGAGTATTCAGAAAACCAAGACCTCAAACATGAATGGCTTTGAGGATTTCAGTGAACAGAAGTGTGAAATGTTCTGTCCCTTTACAATTTTATTCCATGTTGTCTTTGATGACTTTTCTTTTTCAGAACCACAGATTAAACCACATATCTTCAGGATGTGCATAAAAGTTTCTGGTCTTCCCACTGATAAAGGACAGGCTAACAATATATTCCAAAATCAAAATACGCAGCCTGTGTATTTTGCACAGTGCACAGAAATTTCCACTCTTGATCATTTGAATTGAAGTTCTTGCACACTTAGCTGGTGTTGGATGTACATTAATGTTTTAGTGGCCTTGAGCAACTGGTCTGCCACAGATATCAAGCCCTAAATGAATATATTATACGTACCTATTCATGTGTTGCTTATAATTGTTGTATTCTAGGAATGTTGGTATTATTTCTCTAACTAAGGTTCAGCTGACTTTTCCTTTATAATTCTCTATTATTTTATTTTTTTATATTCTGTGTTTTGCTGTTTCACATTGAATCAGGATTAAATTTAAATGGATTAAATCCAGCAAAATTAAAACTGTTTTCTACGATATTCAAACCCTGCATTTGTTTATATGCCTTTAGAGACTTTTCTTTTAATAACAAGTTCCACACAGCTGTGTGTTAAAGAACAGTTGATTCCTCATGGAAAACTCTAATACGGTCTGCCTAGAAAATCTATTTATTTTATTGATTTTCTTTCTCCTTTACCAGTCCTTTTCTTCCTTTGTCCTTATCTAAAGATGGTCCTAATTTTTATGATTTGGATTGTGATTAGGAAGCCAAATATTCCAAACATTTCAGCATTTTCTAATCCAGGATTTTACATTATCCTTTCCAATGAGAGGAGACTTGCAAAATGTGAATGCAGTGTGGACATGACCTCACCTAGGCCCTGAGCTCATTTTATAGAGATTTGATGAGGCTTGAATCTATAATCAGCCTTTGTATGACTCAGGATCCTTTGCAGTTATTAATTGATATGTCATCCTAAATCATATAGGAAGACATATGAATAGACATGATTCTATGCCAGCATAACAAAATGTCTATTGTATTTTTATAAAATTGTCAACTACAAATATCTCGGCCTATTATTTTGTAGCTGGTAGAATAATTCATGTATCCATTGCTAATAGCTGTTAAAATGTTAGTAGCTACTAATTGTGACTAGGGCAGAACAATGTGAAAACATTCTTCTGAAATGAAATGTCACTTCTGCTATTACTGGGAGTACTTGGACATTTATTATGATAAAAAAACTTTGTGTCTTCTCCAGTACATCCAAATCTGTGACCTTTGATGATCTTTTCAGTGAATATAGCAAGAATTCCAGTACTATATTAGAAACTGAAGATGAATTTTGTGTAGCTTTTGGTCTGTTGTGGATATTTCACTGAGATTTAGAGTGCCAAAGGAAACATATCTAATGATGCAGAAGGTTACTTGCACAGCAAAGATCCTGAACCATACAATGAAATCCTTAGTAGTAAAGTATAGAAGAATGAAAATTATATATATTATGTGTGTGTGTTATTGTGTGAATGTGAAAAATCCTCCATAGAGATATTTTTCCCATAAAAATTTAATTATTTGGATAGAATTAAGTGAAGCCAGTAATTGCAGGCGAGGGTGCCTTTGTTTAGAAACCTGCATCATAAGGTTTGGTTTTACACATGATCATAGCTGATACTGAAAATAGACTTTGAGTCAAATGTGCAACTTTTCCTTTGAGGAAAATGGCTGTGGCTTTGAAAATGGTTTATGTATATAATCCACTTAACACCACTCCTCTTACAAATACTCACCATATCAGGCTGCCTGTCTTAATCAGGGTATATAGGCACAGTGTCAGTATGAGCATGAAAGAGTAAAAGGACCATCCAGCTGTGGAGCAGCCTGAAGAGTCTGTTTGCCCAGCTGTGGATGAAGCAGTCAGAAAAGTACTGGATGTATTACCTGCCACTGCCACGAGACCACCTGGGTTAGGAAACCACCTGGGAACCACCAAAATGCAGAGAGGTTCCATCGAGCTCTCTTCCAGCTGTTTGGGAGGGACAGAAGGTCCCTTTGCGGGGTACAGGTTGTGGGTGATCTTCAGAGATGAATATGATTGCCATGTGCTAGCAGGAAGCAAAGGTTCAGCTAGTGAACCTGCGTTGCCCAGAAAAAACATAAGCCCTGAGTTCTGGCTACCCCACCTGAAAAGAGTTGACCGAAATATATGTAAAAGTCTACAATATTTTAGTGTCTGTTCTTCAGAAGTAATTTCAAACAGTCAAAAATTAATTTTCAGATATAAATAGGAACATAGACACTCTTTTCCTTTCCATGCTGATATGAGTAATTTTGTTTTCAGTGGTAAGGAAGGGGAAGAAGGATTTTTCACCAAAGGCCACATGCCCTAATTGGAGCAGAATTTTAAAATCAAGTATATTTCAAAGAATCTGGTTCCACTTAGTTCTATCTCGTGTCTATGCTGACAGTGAGGATTCTGAACTTGACCTCAGAATATAGTAATACAGCTGAGGTTGGAATTTATAAAAGACATATGGAGTTATTGAGATGTGTTTAAGGAGAATCACCCAATGAGCAAGTGCTGTGGATCAGACCAAATGTGCTTTCTCAGAAGAAAAGGCACTTAAATTTGACTGATTTGTAACTAGCAAAGTAAGTCTGACCTTGCCAAATAGTATTTCAGAATGCTTTGCTTATTTTGTGTGCGCCACTTCCTAAGAATATCAGTGTTGTTGGTAAAGAACACGGAGGTGAGCAGCTTTGTGAGAGCAGAGGGGCTGTACTGCAGCACAGTCATGAGCCAGGAGACTTTTGCTAGAGTGCCCCAACATTTTCTGGGTAGCATCACTTAGATCTGCCTGATAAGGATAGCCTTGATACTCTGAATCATGCCAAGAGCCAAAATGCAGTCTCAATTCTCTGTGTTATGTTTCACTCTACTTAATATGTTCATTTATGTAATTTCAAAGTAATCTGTAGCCAAACTGACAGCACATGTGTGGCTGCAGATCCTCTGTT